AAATTGCTTAAATCACCTTTCTTTCCCATTCTGACATTCAGTTTGGAGTTCAGGAGATTGTCTTGACCAGGACCACACCCCTAAATGCATTAAAGCAACTGCCATGCGATTGGTTGATTAGATAATTGCATTAATGAGAAATTGAACAGGTATTCCTAATAATCCTTTAGGTGAGTGTATATATATATATATATATATATATATATAGAGAGAGAGAGAGAGAGCAGTGCAGACTATCCAAATACTATAGATAGAATCCCAAAGTTCATTAAAATTCTAGAACTGGAACATTAACATGTGTTTCTTCAATCGTTTCTGGCAAAGATACGGACAGATTTGGATTTCTTTGGAAACTTACAAGACGCTGAAGGCTTTGGCTCCCACTTGAACAATGGCTGAGGAGATCTTGCCAGGTTTATTCTACGCAGAAAATGCAACGAGCTGCTTGCAAGTAGCAGAAAAGACTCAAATTGCTCTAAATTCTATGCAAAGCTCCCATGCTTTGTTGTAAACTCAATACTGGTAACATACCACGTGAATTTGATTCTGTACCAGCCTGCACAAGCAATTCTAACAGTATGGAAGAATCATAGATACCCAGCACCACTGCCAGTTACCTCACACTTTGCTTGGTCACAATTACCAAAATCGGCCTCCAAAATCAATAAAACTCCAAGCAGACACACCTCTGTCTTAGTTCCTTGAATTTTGGTAAATGTGCCCATATTTCCCAACCATCCATCTTCCTACTGCTGGGAATCTATCCCAGGGAGCAAATGGCACAAGGCTGTACACTATGGAATATCAGTTTTTATCAGTAATTTACAAAGAAATGTGTGCATTTATACCGCAGAAGGAAATCCACGTGAAGAAGGGAAAAAGTGCAAATTATACACGTTCACAGACAGGTTGCAAATTCTGATAATTACTCCACGAATACTGCATTTGCACTTAACAATAATGCTGTGGAAGGATTTTGCATCTAACTTTGCATTCATATAATGCATTCATACATATTTTTACTTATTTTGCCTTTTCTAATAGTTTCTTTTAATTCTATATTTTGTTATTTATCTTAACTATTTTCCCTTTTGTTTTATATATGTATATGCAAAGTAACAGAGCTGTTTTGCCACAATAAGATTTCACTGCCATTGTACTGCACAATAGTGCATGTGACAAATAAAAATCCTGAATCTTGAAGTCTTATATATCTAGTATTTATATATTATTTATTAAATAAAATGTATACCAATTTAAAATTCATAGATGTATTTACTTATTATTGTTAGTAGTAGTAGCAGTAGTAGTGTATAGTAGCAGCAACAGTAGTAGTAGTGTAATAGTAGTAAATACTATTCGAAATGTCTAATTCTATTAATTCCCCAGTAACAGCATTATTAACAGAAATATTTCATTACTTCATTGACAACAAAGTACATATACATTGCTCAGGCAATGGAGACATATAGTATGTAGTCATTACATTTACACAAGTCATGTTGCAAAGATGTAAATAATCCCTTACTTACCTGATGTGTGTTGCTGAACTGTTCACTTGCTAATTATATTTGCCACATGCTGATGGGGAAAAAAACACGGCAAGCACACCAGTCTGAAGGAACATCTTATGATGTGAGAGAAACATATTTGTCTAGAACTTCCTGAAAGGTAGTAAGCAAGCGCCATGGTACCAACCAAACCAGTTTCCATTTTTAACCAATTTCCTTGTGTCTTAGCAAATCTGGGCCAGTCTGGAAGACATCTGATATATAACATTCTTTAACACAAACACAATTTATGTAAACTTTCATTTATTAAGAAAACAAATAAAATTGTGATATCAATCAAGTCCTGTAAGCAAGTTCACAGTTTACAGAGTTTACAGAGTCTACAGGCTTGGATACAAACCCTTTCATTGAGCTCAATGTAACCACAATTAACAGGAAAGCAAATGTGATTAAAATGATAAATCATGACTCGTCATAAAAATCAACGCAATACTTCTCTCCTTATTGTGTTAAATGTAATTTTGTGAATGTGTTTCAGCACAACAGTCACATACTGTATTTGCAGTACATCACTATGTCCCTGTTTCTTTCGTGGTCTGTTTAGATTGTTTGCGCTTTAGATTTCCATAGATTAACTGATTCAAATTAGTTTTTGATTATTAAGTGTTTTGATGGATTCATTGGGGCTTTATTCAGTAAATGAACACTTGTTTATCTTTCAGGGTATCCTTTCTGGTCATTCCAAAATCCAGAACATTCATTTACCTGACACTATATTGCAATCCTACATTTATTTAGCAAAATGAGCAAAACTGTTTAGAGCTCACATTGGTTTTTCACTTCCTAGCCTAAGACGATTAACAAAATTGACAAAACAAACATGTATGTGAAGTGGTTAGAAGAGAAAACCTTGGACCTCCAGAGTTTTTTCCCCCAAGTAAGCCTAAGGCAGTGTTTCTGAACCTGGTCCTTGGGCCCGCAGACGGTCCATGTTTTTGCTCCCTGCCAGACAGTCCATGATTTTGCTCCCTCCCAGTTCCCTGCAAGACACTCCTGGGAAGTCAAACTTTGCTATTCGAATAACATTCGAATTTTAGAAATATTTGCATATTCGATATCAGAAATCCAAGTTCTAGTTTTCTGTAGACTTATGCAGGCAACCATTAAGTAATCTAACACGCATCTCCTCATTTTTGTTTTGGCCCAGTTTGTGCCTTAATGTAAAATATGGGATCTGCCACTAGGGGCAGACTTCCATAAATTAAATGAGCTGGCCTAAATGGCGGAAACCAGCTATCAAGAAAAATAGTAAAATAATGTAGGAATCAGAAGATGAATATGGTGATACAGTAATTCCCAAAACCATAAGAAGTAAAGTCTTGTAACTCTTCATTTCGCCAGCAATTTTTATCGTGGGCAGCCCCCGCTTGGTTAATAAATAGCGTTGCTTTGATAAATACTGTCAAAATACTATATACTGCATTATAATGTATAGACGGTATGAAACGTTAAATTCTGCCCAAACATAGTTAGATGTAGCCTAAATCGAAGGCAGCATTTAATGACATGATGTTAAGTTTTAAGCTATTTTATGCATGTAAACCTATGTCAGCAGGGTAATGTCAATTGTACGATTTCACGCTTCAGTTTAGCTGACTTTTTTGTTATTACTGTTGGAATTTCCCTTGTGGGTAGCTAAATAAATGTCTGTAGTTGTGACAGCAAAGACCATGAGCCTTTTCAGAGTGCTTCTTCCAGATGCTGCGGAACAACCTGACCGACTTTTGCAGAAGATGCCCCAAGTATGGGAACGAAGACCCCGTCCACGAACGTTTCAAAATGGCATGTGACAAGATGATGGCTTTCTCTTGTGACGAAATATGACTTTCACGAAGCACAAGCAACAGACCCAGTGCATCTTGATTGTCATGACGCAGCAACAGCATGACATTCCAGGCTTTTCAAAGAAGACTTTCAACAAATAAAAATTTCATTGAATAATAGCAGGTTTTACTGTGTGTTCTGTGCTGATTTTCTGAATCTGTTTTCACTGTTTATTTTCCTGTTGTAGATAAGAACGTTCTGCTGTTGTTCATTGCTCACATCGTTCTATAGAGCAAAAATGTGATAGCAATGAAGAGAAAACTGAAGCGACCTCTAAGTGTTAAAGTAGACTTTAAATTGTGTATATTAATTTGCTGACTAAAAAATTTTTTTTTTTCAATAATAATATTATTTATTAATAAAATCGATAATTATTTGTTTCTATCATATATTTTTGCTCCTATTGGAGTTTTCAAGGTTTTCCTATTTTTCTTGTAAAAGTCTCTTCCTGACTTGCCTGTAGGAAAAGTAAAAAAAAAAAAATTACATTGTTAAAATTAATTGGTTAAGTGTATATAACTGGAACAGCTATTAAAGGACAGCTATTGAAATAATCTTCACAACTTTGAACTGCTATGTGAAAAGCAAGAAAGATTTCAAATATAAAAACATATATGGCAAGAAATTAATAAAAACAGCTGACGTTTACCTTTTCGGTTGTTATCATGAACATTTTGCTGAAATCACTCCGCTGGTTCAACAGGCACTTCAGTTTTAATAAGGCTCGTTATATCTTTAAAATGAAGCACATTCAGGATATTAATACAGACTTTTGTGCCAAAAAGGTCTGTGAGGGTTTGTGAGGCTATTCCAGGTTCCGTTTACCTTCAAAGTCAATGAAAATGATGAGGTTGTCATTCTTTGTGTAGCTCCGTCGGCGCAGGTCATAGTGACGAATGAAGGACTGCCAGCCCCAAGAACTTCCTCTATAACAGTCACATGACGTGTCATATGTGCCCGTCTTGGAAGGGTCGTCCCAAAACAGCTTGCCCTCTGAAACTTAAACAGTTAATGCATGCAAAAATTAATACCATTTTCGCAGCTATGTCAAATGGTGTGGTGGTGGTGATATTAAGTCCCTGTTCTAGGTAATTTGTTGGAAGATGCATTGATTACTGGATTGTATTGTTGCTTATATGGTTTGTGACTAGAAAATGTTAGATTGTCGTCACTTACTCTGCCTCATATCCGTGGTTAAGCTGCGAGCGGATGACATTCTGAGTTTGATGTCAGGGTCCTGGTCCATCACTGTGATGGTGGCCTGCCTGTTCAGCACCGGCCACTGGAGGGCGCCATCATTTATACCACTAGCCAGGTGAAAGAAGAAGCCAGTGAAGTCCCCAGTGTAATCTTGATGGTTGGACCTTGGTTGCATTGTGACCCCATAGCCATAGCCCTCAGGGCTATAGAAGCGTGGACTCTGTAAATATGTATCGTTGTCTGAGGTCTCCAAGAGCTTAGTGATGTTTGGAATCTGCCAGACCCCACTGGGGCAGCGCGTTTCGGTCAGGCTGATGTCATCGATGGAAATCCCACCACGCGATTGGCCAGGGTCGCCCCGGACTCCTTGGAAGGCGTAGCGGAATTTCACGGCAACCTCTAGGGGCACGTGTGCAATCTTCCAGTCTTGGGCATCAACTCCTGATAGGCATAATGTGAATTATATATAATTATATTTACATACATATTAACTCTCTGACAACTTTTCAGGTTTTGTCCATAACCCAAAGATATGGTGACCCGAATCTACCCTTCAGTGGGTTGGAGTCCTGGGTGCTAGCTGTCGTATGGCCTTCTCACATATATACAGAAGACATATATGTATAAATCACTGTCTCTTTAGTTCCTTTTCTAAATCCATTAAAAATTGACTGTTTATTTGTATTTCATTAGTTTATCAGTATTTCCTTAATCATTCGTCATAATTTCAAATGCATTTCTATATACAGGCACACCGAAACCATCTCACGAAGTGCATTAGTAATTTTCAATGGCATACCAAAAAACGTATGTATTTTCCTCAGCTTTCGAACCGTCCCCGTGCCATCATCCATTTTCACCCAGACCACAAGCCTGTCCTTAGTGCTCCCAGTCATCTTGTAGAAGAATTGCAGACACTGCAGGTTTCTCTTTGGGTACAGAGTCCGAGACTCGAGAAGGGCGGACTCCTCGGCCGCTCCCAGGCTAGTGTCAAAATACATGAAATAGCCCGCATCTGAAATTAAACACACAACTGGATGTTGGTGCCAAAAACAAATGGCAGCCTGCTATTTGGTCATTTCACAGGTGTGCAAACAGTATATGCATTAGACTGGCCATTGCTGTAAACATCTTGTAACAGTATGAAGCAATTAGCTTGATCTGAAGGTTGCAACTGCTAATTAGAACACAAGAGACATGTGAAATCAGAAGAAGCCATTCAGGCCACCTCCGTAATATAAACATTTTGCAGTGGATGTTCAGTGAAATTTTGTATTCTATATTACTAGAAAGCCTTTTCAAAATTACTTACACCCCATTTAGTGTAAATAAATATTTCTTTTGTTCTGAATTGATTGGGTCACTCTTCCACAAGCAAGATACAGAACTATTATACTGTGTCATAAGAGCCAATGGTGTGTGAAATGATGTAATACAAAGGTTCAACATGTTCAACCAATAGAGCAGTAGCAGAAAAGGACACACCTCTGCAGCGTGCGTTCAGGGTGTGGTCCTCTTTCCCCACAGAACTCAAGGTGTGGACCCAGCCCCCATTGTCAGCCTGCAGTTGGATCATCCCACAGATGCTGATGTACTCAAAAGCACACTGGTCCAGCATTGTAAGAGAGGATGCTAAAAAAAAAAAGAGTGGTTGGAGATCCACGATTTTGGAGGGAAACCGTCACGGTGACTAGAAGCTACCGCTAAGAAGTCTAGCAGAACAGAGAGCAACAGCAAACATAACACACAAATCAGTATTTAATTAACAGAGATAGCAAATGTTACTTCTTCCTGTGAACATTTTTGTCAGTCAAATCCAAGGCTACGAAATATCTCATGCTTAAGTTCTCACATCACTTACAGCAGTTATACATTCGGTTCAGCCTCAGAACATCGAGGGCACTGAAATCCAGGTACTGGCCAATGATGTTGTTAAACTCAGGGATCTTGGTTGTAATAGTTGGGAAGCTTGCGTTCTTGTTAAAGGAATATGGACGGTAGTGCATGATGGACTCGTAGTCATAAGCGGTGTTCTGGTCAGTGACGAAGCTGTCGTCGTATTTATTAAAATTGTGACCCATGCCTGACAAGTGTAACAAAGGTTATAATGATCACTGTTTGCACTTCTACACATTACACAGTACTATTAAAGATCAAAAAACAATATTTGGAAAATGTAATGTAATACATACATAATGTCTGTGAGAAATGAACAATGAATAATCTGAATGGAAACATTCAAGAAAATATTGTCATAGTGGTATTAATTTTGACCATCCACAGAAGGCTAAATTATTTCCAGAATAAAGTACTTATAGATTCAACTAATCTGCAATTAAAAAGGCTGGAACTCAGCTACCAAGGCAGAAGGACACCAGGACAAGAGCACCAGGACATGAGCATCACCTGGGAGCACTTCATCCAGCCAAATGTCCACGTAGTCACCACGGTCACTGCGGGACTGTTCGTGGTAGAAGCCCACCGCATGCAACAGCTCATGCTCAATCACGGCCTTGTGGTCACATCCCTCTCCCAAGGACAGTGTCTGGCCAGTCTGCTGATCTCCCACCATAGACCAGCACCTGACGGCCCAGGAACAACAAGCGAACGTAAGCCAGGCAAAAACAGATGGCCGTTCCAAAACCTTTTTGGTTAGTTGTTGGAACTCGTTTAACAAAAGAGCAACAGTTATGTACTGAAAACATATTATTACAATACTGTTCTTTGTAATCTGAAGCAAAATTGGGAATAAAAAGATGTTGAAGATTTTTAAAGAGCTCCAACTTTCAACAATTCATTAAAAACATTAGAACACATTCATATATAAATGCCATATAATACTGTACAAACTTCATATTCCATACCCATCTAATTTTTGAAATCTGATGTATGTCTTCTCTCCTTCATATGGCTTGAAATCAACACAAGACTTAAGGCGGTACATTTCAAAAGCCTGGAAAATGGCCCCCTTGGCATTAAGATCTGAAAATTTAAACAAAAGTTATTTGAGTATGATTTTGGAATAATTTGGGGTGGTTTGGAAAACCTACCCAAAAAACATTACGCAAATACTTCAGTCATTAAGTCCCTCTGCAAAAACTTTGAAAGCTGAAACGTTTCTTACAAACGTGTCTCTTTGTTATTGCAGGAAAATGTAACATCATACACCTACCAAGGCTATCGGCCAGAATATAAGGTATGGGAAACTTCCATCTGAACGTAGTATTAATGAGTGCATTCCTTCCAGGCTTGAAGAAATTAAAGCAATTACATATGGATTTGAAATTTCAAAACAGTTTTACAAATAACTGATTGACAAGAACAATTGATTAGACTGCACAATACACAAAGTAATCAATAAAACAATTTTACTTACAGGGATGGCAATGTCACCTTCAATTAGGGGGGTTTTTGCTCCTAGATTAGAAATAAAAATGAACTTTATTTTCTTATATTTGTTTATATTCTTGAATAACCACACTTGCGATTTAATAGAGAGAAAATATGCCAGGGACAGTCCAATCCATCCTACTATCAGTCTCTCTGCATGTTGTAAACACTCTTAAAGCACAGCAACCTTTTTGAGGGTATCAAGCTCTTATAAATTTCAAAGCATTGAATTACCTCTAATGTGCAATAACTGTGATACCAAAACATCAGTATTACTTACCCAAGTTAAGGTAGGGATTTTCCAATCTATCACTGTGTTTGTCTGTATACACATCTGAACAGAAATATGAATTACAATTATTTCTTGTAATTTCACGAGATTTTTATAATTCACTTTTTTTAGTATCTTTTTTTTTTATATATGTATGTGCATCGGATGTTGAAACATACCAGTCCTTTGGGATGACAAAGGGATCTGCAGGGGAAAACATGAAGAGATATATACTGTAGTTGTATAATAATATAATTGTATTTATATAGTTACACATTAGTTCAATTTTGCATCTAAACGATATATTAAATCCGAAGGAATACAACTTGAACAACTTTCACACTCACAGTATACGCACTGGAGAATAAAACCAGCCCACTGCTGAGAAGAAACCAAAACGAACTCATGGTGAAAATGACTAACGTTGAATGTTTTACTTATGTTTAAATAACTAGCCAAAGGGAACTTCAGCCTTTGACCGAAAGAAAAACATAATTACTACAATAGTGATTGCAATCTCAGTTATAACTCCAATGATCTCACAACGATCTCAAAGGTTATAACGAGAAAGCCTGTACTTCAACAATACGGTAACAATTTATAGCGTCATATGACCAAAATCACAACTCATAACAAGATAACAATTTAGTTTCAGATCTTAGGCGGTGAGTAAATTTCAAATAGGATGTGGCATTATTATTGTGCATCTTATTTACACAAATTGCTATTTATTATGGTATGATTTCGGAATTAGTTGCAGCCCAAGGAACTATTAAATTCCCTTCGTAATTTTAAGCTTCTACATAATGGACGGGGTGCTCCACAAGAGGGCGCAACCATCCAAAGCATTCAAAACGAGCAGCAGCCCACGATTTCCAAACCCAATGTAATTGTTCTTTGTATTTTGGCCATAACGACTCTTATATTGAATTAAATTAGGAATTGATTAAACTATTTTAAAAACAGACTCGTGCACAGTAATTTCAATTACTAACTAAGGGGGGCAGCGTGTGGCTCAGTGGGCTAAGCCTGTGTACCCGTAAGGTCGCCGGTTCAAACCCAGCCTCAGCCCGTCTGTGTAGTCCTTGAGCAAGGGCCATAACCCCCAACTCCCTGGGCGCCCCAACAAGTGGCTGCCCTTCGCGGACAAGTTGAGGGAGGCGTAAAAACAATTATAAAGTATCTATTATTATTATTATTAAACTTCGGATATACTGATAAATAAACATTTAAGGATATTTACTTCTGCGAATCATAGTAGTTTTTATCTTTCCTCATTTACTTTTTGTCAAGTGTTAACTTAGTCACCCGGCAGCAGCTTCATAAATTCGGATAAGGGCAGAATAACTGCTTTTGTGATTCCTAAACAATACGCAAATAAGTGTCACTTATGCCACGCCCACTGCCTGTGAATGAGACATTTTGATTGGCTCGCGATTCTCGAAATCAGCCTTTGTCCAATAGTGGCACCGCTACGTAGCCGATGGGACGGCTCACGGAATTGGTGTAATGTGACTTACATTTACACTTACATTTTTATTTGTCTGATTAATTTGCGTTGCTCACTCCATGGCCGCAAATGTATTAGTGAAGTATAAACGTATTTTATCCTGTAAGTCGGCGCGCGGTTCTCATTGCACATTTCACTTGGTCAACATGGCGATGTCGCTTCGCATGTTTCCAAAGCTGTTAACGTGCTGAACATTTCATGTCAAATTAAGTGGTGCCTGTCCCGGGTTCTAGAAACAATGCAATGGCCTGATGCACTTCCGGGACCTAAAAGCGTGACTGGTCGCATACCGCACACCTGATCATCTACCTGTCATTATGGCGAAATGCATCCCTAGGGCTGCTGTCCTTCAGACAGAAGTGCTGGGGGAGACACTACATCTTAAAATGCATGAAACTGAAAAAGTAGGTTGCAGAGGAAGACTGCGATGTCTGCGCGGTTTAACAGCGATCTGCTGTTAACCACTAGTTGTTAGCTAGTGTTGCGTTCCTGCGACATCGACGCTGGATCTAGTGTCTAGGGAACGGGTTAGATAATAGGAAAAAGCGACGCCCCTGCTTAGCCGGCCGTTCCAGTCCATTCGCCTACGCACCTTCCCGTGCTTTCAATCCAACCACCAGTGTCTGGCTGCCTGAACCGTCAAGTTCCCACAGGAAACCGCGCCGCGTGAAAGCAGGCGCATCTGAAAAAGGAAGCCGAAAACACACACAGGCCGCTCCCGGCAGATTATTACAAGCTAGCCTGTTGCTGCGAAGCTGTCTGGATGGCTGGCGAGCGATCGGTTCAGCCCCGCGTCAGCCGATCAACCCGCAGAACTTGACGGTACGCCGACCGGTGCGACAGTAACATCCGCCGCGGTGCATACACCTGGATATATTTCCGGGTGCTTTTCTTCGGTCGTTTTATGTAAACTAGACAAGTGTAACACAGGCACGAAATACTTATCCGTTACCATATCGGTAACCTAGTTAAAAGTGATTTATAAACCTGATCGCTGTTATTGTTCTCGCCACATATTAATGCATTTTAATTTCAGGGTTGCCAACTCACTCATCTGGCGTGACTCTCACGATGCCAGGCTCGCATGCCAGAAATCTTACGCAAATCCATAATTTTCCATTACAAACCTAAAGATACATCAAAAGCGTACGTGTAGTTTGCAAACCCTACAGACTATTTACAAGTTAATAAAACTCTTACATACATGTAAATGCGCGTGCATGTGTGTGCAGAATAGTCTCGGATTAAATAAAATAATAAAAAATAAATAATAAAATAATTGAATATTTCTCTCCAGTCAGCAAGTTGTCAACCCTGTCATTTATAAGTACAGTATTCCCGTTCTTTATTTGGTAGGGTTTCACCTTCTCGCACCAGTTTCTATGTTTTTTGGGGTAGACATATTATTATTATTAAGAATAATAATTCACTTTTGCATCCGTTTAAGTGTAAACGTACTGTACCATAACGTCGTTACAGTTGCTGTCAATAATGACCTTCAGACGAGTCCCTAATAGGTCCTAAGCACGACTGCTGAAAGCAGGCGGTTACATTCAGGACCCTGCAGTACTGTGGGATTTAGCCTGTTAGACATGTTATCATTTGTATGTTCTCATGTGCTCACATATTGTACTGTAACTGCAATGAAATCGCTTTTTCCCCCCAGGGCATGGCGTCCTGCAGGAGTCTAGGATTAAACAAGATTATTTTTCAAAGCTACATTTTAAGTTTGATCTGAGTATTTAAAAAGTCTCTTTTGTAGATTCCCTGTGGCCTTTCTGTTTGGAATCAAGGAGCTGGTTAGCAACGACTAACCATGGGAAATAATCACGGCCACAGCCTGGGGATTCCCGCTGGAAAAGGGCCCAATCAGGTTGGGTGTGCTGACCTCATGGTGGATCACACCATACAGGTAAATGGATACATGGTTCTTAAAGGAAAGAAAACACATGCCTGTGTTATTTATTTATTTTTTGTTAAATATGTTATCCTTTCAAAGCTTGTCAAATACCTACACTGACAAGGATGCTTCTCCATCTGAACCAGTACAATACAGTTGTGTGTAATTTAATGATCCGGGAAAGCAGTGGACTTGGCTTTGTGTTGCTGATGGAATTTGGTCCACAGGGAAAACAGCTGGGTACACCTGGTTTAAATGATCAGTGTCGTTGATGGGAAAAGTTTGTGAATTTCTAGACTTAAACCTGGATGTTTTCCGGTATAACTGATGAGACAAAAGTTATTGAAAATTCTGGGCGAATCTCAATATGCATACTTGACCATACTTGTGTTCTCGTGAACCCATTTTACATCATCTTCCATTGCCAAAGACCACTTCCAATATTAAGAACACAAGTACAGAGGACGGTAAAAATCCCCGGATGTTGGTCTTGCTCCATCCTAAAAATCAAGGATACAGTACATCGGTTGCATCCTCGCCAAATGAGACCGATCCCATGATTCATTGTGCCCCAAGTTTGCTCTTGGAAGACAAGTTAGCAAGACCGGTCTTGCTAAGATCACTAGTATGATCTTTGTGTTCTTGGTATTGAGATTCGCCCCTTAACTCGCCTTAACTCGCCTATGAAGCAAAGTCGTTATGGACTCTTTGCTCTCCTACGCCTTAGAGTGACTTAAACAGAAGAAATTCTGTATTTAAGAAATGCCAAATCAGAGACCTGACCTAATTCCCAGCAGTTACAGAAATCATTTAGTTGAGGTTATCAATAAAGGAAGTTCCACTAGTTGCTAAATATGAGGGTTGACATACTTTTTCCCCATGAATGATCTTGCTTGTTTAAACCATGTGTTCAGTGAAGTTAAGTTAAATGTGTGAACAGAGCAACCACTGCAAGTTTTAGAACTTGCCCTTGTACCTGTATCACAAAGCATTTGTTTAGCTGGATAACTGATCAGATTTATGATGGGGTAAATGTAAGTGAATGAAGATAAAGTCCATTTAAACTGGGGTACCTTAAATCCGACAAGTTATCCGGTTAGGCAAAAAATCCAGTTTCTTGATACAGTCCCCTGGAATTAGCAGTTTTAGATTATAATTAAAAGCCTTCTTGTAACAGTGGCTATCTTCTTGTCTTTATTTTCAACTGAAGAGTGTTTAATACCATGTATTAGCTTCATAGCAGTAGAAGGTAATTCTGCATACTTTACCAATAAAAAAATAAATGCCTTTACTCTCGTTTGTAAATTTCTTATGTTCTTATGATCAGGGAACCTTTCTTCGGCTGTATTACCCGTGTGAACCGTCATCAGACTCTGAACAGCCCGTCTGGATACCAGCCACAGAATATTTCAGCGGTCTTTCTGACTTCATGAAGATGAACAGAGTCGTGGGCACTAGGATTATCAGTTATCTGTTTGGTAATATATGCTCACTGTTTTAAAATTATATGTTTTGTTCACAAACAATTGTGGCTATGCAACAGTAATAAACCCCATTAAATTTCAGTATATAGTCTTAAGAAACTCAATTAGTATTTATACTGCTAGGCTGGGCAGAATTAGCTATACAGTATATTTTGAAATCTTTGCAAAAAAATTTTGCCAAGCTAGGGGGGGTACAATATTTCTGCCAAAATACTGTGTACCACGGTATAATGTCTGGAAGGCATGACGGTATGAAAAAATGGATTCTGGCCAGGCTTATATGCCATTGTATAAATACTAACTATAGATTATTCATGAAGGTCCGTTGTAGGGCCTTTATTTAAAGTATGACCTTCTGTTCTTGTAAGATTGCTCTTGCACTGTTAGGACGCTATAAAATACCTGCCCTTTGGGAAGCACCGCTGAAGTCTGACAGGAAGTATCCTCTAGTTATCTTCTCTCATGGGCTCGGAGCTTTCCGGTATGTATAAATTATTAAACTGGCATATTACAAACATGTATGTTGGCTGTCTAAATTGCATTTTGTTGGTCTTTTATGGAATCACATACCATGCAGTTGTTTTTCCCTTTTCAGGACATTATACTCGGGCATATGTATTGAGATTGCATCCCAGGGCTTCATAGTCGCAGCCGTGGAACACAGGTACGGCAGAGTTAACCCTACTTTTGTTGGGGGGGGAGGGGCATTGAAATGTGCAGTACATGCAGAGAGCTCTTGTTTAAGGCTAATGGTCGAGAAGGAAATGCAGGCAATAGCATGTGAGGGGTGTAATAAACAATGGTAGGGTTAGGTCATCACATTTCTGTTTGTATGGGCCAGAGAGACTACATGGGCAGCATAAAGGGAAAATGTCAGTCGTCACAGGCAGTGACTTGCCCCCAATGTAAAAGTGCTCAGCCTTTGGCTGTAATGCTTGTTTCAGCTCGTTCATCGGAATGAATGAGTCACAAGCGCGTCTTTTGTTTCGAACTGCAAGACAATGCAGTTATCAACTAGACCTTTTGTGTAAGCTAGTGTACACCAAGGAAGTTGGAAAATTAGTGGAAAATCAGTGGAAAATTTTCTATAAAAACTACACATTTGTGTTTTTTAATGAAAATAAGTCTTCTTTTTTTTTTCTTTGTTTTTTTTTTTTTTCTTTTAAGGCACTGATAACTGTGAGTTACTTGTAGAAACAACAACTTATGTTTTTTGCTTCTTTTTTAGGGATGAATCTGCCTCTGCTACATATTATTTCAATAAAAAGTGTGAGACTGAGCAACAGGATGACCAGGCCTCTGACGACTTGGAGCAGGTCTGGATGTACTACAGACCTATAAAACCAAGGGAAAATGAATTTCCTCTTCGGAACAAACAGGTAATGCTTTCTGCTGAAACTCGCACTGCTGCCTTTGTGAAATATGCTCTCTGATTTGCTGATTTGAAGTGGAAACCATGTTTCCTGATCTGACCAATAAAACTGCCAACAGCGTAGTTTGTTTTTGTGCTTTTCTTCTTCTGTAGGTACTGCAGAGAGCAGACGAATGTGTGAGAGCCTTGAAACTTATTGCTGAAATGAACTCGGGACGTACTGTTAACAACGTCTTGCAGTCACATTTTGACTGGTCAACATTAAAGGTATTAACCGTTATAACAATCTTATTTTTATTTAAAAATGTATGTTCAAATAGTGTCCTTACTGGGGTATTTTATGGTTGGTAGATTCAATGCATATGGTGGATATTTTGAAGACAGACACTTTTGTCTGCCTTTAGTAAATGTGTTTGGAAATAAGAATTAACCCTATAAGCCTTTGATACAACTGGTACAGGTTTCGTTTTCTTGAAGAAAGGAGGAAGAGAATGTCTACAGTGGCAGATTATTATCTAGTTAGGCTAAACTTCCCCTTTTGCACTTAGGGAGATAAGCAAGAAGTTTGGTTTGTACTTCTGTCTTTGTTTGGTGGCCTTGTCACACGTTCTGTACAGTATGTCATGAGATGTCTGTGCTCTTTCACAGAACTCTGTCGATCTGTGTAAAACAGCCATAATGGGCCATTCGTTCGGGGGAGCCACAGTGATTGAAACCCTCAGCAAGGAGCCCACTTTCAAGTACGTTCTGCATAACTGACTTGTAATTAATGCACTTTTTTGTGCTTTCGAAAACCTTTTTTTCCCCTCAACATTTTAATGAAATTGGAACCTGTGTATTAAGGTGGGAATTCAAATTTCATTCCCACTATATCACTCTGCTTTCTCTGATCAGGAGGTCGGAGTCGTGTGTTGGATAGCTGGGTATTTCCTCTCCTCACTCTCTGACACTTTTTAAATTCAACTTGTCACTTGGAAGAAGTGCATTGTGAGTCAGGATGTAGCAGTGTACCCTTACACAACCAGAGTTGTGTGTTTTACCCCAACTCGGTGTGCTTCTCATGTTAATAGTGCTTTTCCCGCACAAAGACACTTGCATCTTTCTCTCTGTTTGTGCTTCCTGTGTCTTTCTTGCATCCCATCTTGGATGCTATGCTCCTTTGGATAGCGGACAAGTGGTTCTAGAAAACTGAATGAGCAAAGTACAAGTAAATATAGATGAACTATAGCTGACAACTTGCCTTTGTATGTTTACCCTTCCACAGATGTGGCATTGCTTTGGATAGTTGGATGTTCCCCTTAGATGAAGAAATGTTCCCTAGGGTCAAACAACCGATTCTGTTCATCAACTCTGAGAAGTTCCAGTGGGCAGGGAACATCATTCGCATGAAGAAACTGGACTGTACCACTGTACAAAGAAAAATGATCACTATCAGGTGTGGTCCGTGAAACATGTTCATGTGCCAAGCCCACAAATGAGATGCTTTCTTTTAGATATTCCGATAGCAAATGGTGAAAAAGAACATGAGAAACATTGAATGACTAGTTTATCATCATGTTGGTGTAGCGTTTTCTATTGATTCCCTTGTAATCGCTAGGCAGTTAGCAAGCTAGATATTTGGGGTGGTGTGTATCTCAGCAGGATTGGGATCGCTGCCCATATCTGGAAGGCTGTGGGTTCCAATCCCATGGCTGGTACAGTACCCAAATCACTGCTGGGCCCTTGAGTAAGAGTAGGAATGCTGACTAGCCCTGATCTGTGATCCTCACTTTGGACAAAAAAAAAACATCTGATAAATAAAGCTTGTAAGTGTATGTTTTGCATTATTTTGCTCTTGAAGGGGATCTGTTCATCAGAGCTTCCCAGATTTCACCTTTCTTACTGGCAACTGGATCGGAAAGATGATACACTTGAAGGGCGAGATTGACCCCCACGTAGCACTTGATCTGTCTAATAAGGCGTCCTTGGCATTCCTTCAGAGACACTTGTGTGAGTACTCATGTCGTCATTTTTTTAATCATCTACATTTCCTAACCTGAGAATAAACGTCTTTCTTACCAGTAATTAGCAACTTTTACGAATGGTAAAACGTGCAAAATGTAGTAGTTCTAGCTTTTGAGTGTGAGTAGTTTTACAGTAAGAAAATAGAATTTCTAAGTTAATTTGCATTCTTGCTTTTTGCAGCACTGGAAAAAGACTTCAATCAGTGGGACCCTCTAATTGATGGAAAGGATGAAAATCTGATTCCAGGCACCAACCTCATCATTCCTCCATCTTCACTGTAAAGGGGAACCTGACTTCCTCCATCATCACTGTGAACGGGAACCTGACGTGGCAGAGATGAGCCACAACACTGTCGTGCAGTTTCAGTGTGTCAGTCCTGAGCTATATTGCCATATTTCCATGTTGTTCAGAACTCAGCAAATTGCAATGCCTGGAGAACACTGCAAGTATGTGGTCATACTTCTTATGACAGCCGAGTGACTATATAAGCATCGGGTGGCACTGAATGACGGCCAAGTAAATGACACGTGACTTTCATGCTCTCAGCACCAGCACTTACACAATGTCCCCTTCTGTGAGGGGAAAAAAAAAAGTCTTGCACAGAAAGGTTAAGCAATGATTAATCAATGATTTCATGCAACTTTTTTAAAAAGTATGTTTTCTATCAGATAACTTTATATAATTAAGTATTCACACTACATTTCTTTACGAAATTTCAAAGGCATTAACTTTAATAGTCTTTTCTCCTACTTTGCTTATAGGCAAAGGGCCTATATTACAAAACAACTGAGGTATGATTAATACAATCATGAATTAAAATGGACTTTTTACCATATGTAATGTATTCTGTAATGCTGATTCAATATGCTGAAATTAGTGATTAAAATTATGGTAAATTACCCTTCAAATGAAATGTTTTTCCATTTTAGTTATTCTCTTTGTTTCTTTTGTTCTTAAGATCCTGCCATACAGTGCACACCAAGTAATGTGACATTGCTAGGCACGCAGCTGGCCAAAAGTTCAAGTTTATCAATATGAAAAGCAATGTGTGAAAAACAGGTTGCAAGCTGGGGACAGTCTGTAATTGCAGTTTTGTACATGCTATATCACACTGGTGGTAAGCAAGGAGGAAGGAAGGGACATATAGCATTTGAAACCATCTGCAACCTTCAGACAAACTAAAGGAAATACTTCTGGCCCATTGAGCACCACACACTAAGGATTACTCCTTGTTCATATGGAGCACAAGCTGAAATAGACTGATGTTGAACAATTCACAGCCCTTGGGGAAACGTACAACTACCACCCACAATTTCCCCCATCCCAGCATGGGTTGTTCTGCACACTCGCTACAGTTTATGATACATGAGGGGCTGCGATTGCAGCGAAGTGTAAGTGACACTGTTTCCAGTGGGAGAAACATTGTGGGGCATTTTAAGCATTCGTCACTTACGTATACGTATACTCTCCTAAAAGATATTCAAATTGAACTGCAAATGCCTCAAAAATGCTTAAAACAGGATGTACAAGTGAGGTGGAACAGTACGATATGCATGTTTCTAATAGCATAATAAAAGATTTTTTGGCATACATTTTTAAATTTATTTACTAGCATATTAAAACACACACACACGCACACATACATAATATAGTTATACTTTATATATTACTGAAGTAAAAAGAGCTCATATCACAATCTATCGGTATCGGCAGTTGTGTATTGGAATCGGATCAGAACTCAAAAAATGCAGATCAGCACATCCCTAGGTTGTACTTTACTTGAATAAATGCATGTTTACTTTTATGCACAACTTCCTTAAGTCTGCTAATACATTTCAGGTGAAACTGAAAATGCTAAATTCTCCAGCAGCCTTCCGTACGGCACCACAATTTAACAAAGCTACTGGCTTCTTGTGCCTTTGCTGTTCCAACTAATTTGTGCAACACAAATCAAACTACATGTAAAACAACCCTTGAAGACTGCAGGAGGATGACAGAAAATACTCTGGAAAGACTACAAAAATTCATTCAATGAAACAGTTATTTATTTTTTTTCCCCAAAGCAAGAAAGTACAGCAAACAAAACATTTTTTGTAGATAGCTGGACGCTATATAAACTTAAAAAGCAACAAGGTGAATAATTTCCCACCAATTAGCATGGGTTTAAAGATCCTTATACTCAAAAACAGCATGTAAAGTCCTTTGGTCTGCAGGTCACTTCTTCCTTTCACCACCCATTCGGTTCTCCTTCACAGACACGTCATCATCGGTCAGCTTTTCGATTTTTAGTGTTAGATGCATCACCTTGGACAGCTGTTCACCTGGAGGGGTGGGGGAACGTTATTTACTATATCATTTCCAGAGTACCATTTTCTTTCCCCCTCATCATACTCTTCTCTGACCAACTGGCTTCACACATCCCTTAAGTTATAGCCGTCATTGACATTATTAGGTAAACTGCTGGTGTTACTCAAATCTGAACTAAAATTCCACACTGCTGAACAACAGGACTTCTTGCCAGAGTATTTGCTTTACAGTATTTATCAGTCTCAAGGCATCTGTTAAACACTGATTTGTGTTTCTGAGCCTCATTGCACTAAAAGACCGTTTTAATTCATTTAAATTTAACCGCATTGGGGTAGAACTGAAACGACATGAAAGACATTTACCATTTTATAAGATCTGTTCTTTTAAATAAGATTGCATTACAAAAAAAGTATCTTTGAGTATGACCAACAGACCAACTAAAAGACTTACCAAATGTCTCGTCCCCTGACCCATACGCAGCAGGCTTTGTTCCAGCCTGCAAGAAAGTTGTGCAATTTTCTGGAATTTGCATGTCACAGAAAATAAGATATTCAGACAAAAATGGTTAATAAGTAGCATAACACAAATTACCATTGATTTGACATCCAAAGCAGTCACATCCCTGTCATTTCCGATTTGTTCTTCCAGTCCTGTACACATAGCAAGGTCATGCACCTCTATAGATATGCACCAGGCGCGATCCTAAATGCCGTCAATGGGAACCAGCACTTTAGCATTAAGCAAAAACACATACCTGTTTCTTCACTTTCAGCAAATAAAGCCACTTTAATGGAATCATACGTCACCTGCAAATCAGACTATTAAAGCATCGTCTTTACAGACAAACGGAAAAACCAAAAAGAAAAATAAGTAAAAAAAAAATAATAATAATCACTTCTTCCTTGGAAGTGGCTGCTGTCGACAGATCACTGGCAGAACCCATAGTTCCATCCCCATCACAGGGTTCTTTGGGGGCGGGGGGGAAGAATAAAAATAAAATGATCAATGTTGGTCAAAGAAGCTCCTCCAACCTGCTAAAAAGGCCTTGTCCATTAGTCGCATTACCTTATTAAAATACAGTGCAACATGATCCACAAATATACTGTTCCCACCCTACAGATCCAGCTTATACAGTGATGTATTCAGCTTGTAATTCAAATTGAGTAATTTGTGCTCTTTTACACATCAGTTGCCAACATCACTTGTTCAGAAGGCTCAAGTGATTGAAAACATACTAATGAATTTAATTTTGTAATTATTACTGGAGGTTATAATCCTTCTAGTACCTTCTGAGATCTGCCTGAAGATATCTGACAATACAGTTTCAGGCATTCCTATGTTGACATTCACAAAGACTACACACTCCAGATTTTTCAGTAGCTGCCCTATCGAATCAGCAGAAGCATAACGCTCAGGCTGAAACATTTTCACGTATTTAAAACAATCTACTGATGAAGTGAAACACATGTTGCTGTATCATTATAGTGGCAAGGCATGTGATAAGGATGTGCAACAATTGTCCGGACATAGAACGAGGGACATGGTTTTTCAATTTCTGCAAAAAGGTTAGTGGAAATGAATGCATGCCTACCTTGCTGGAGTCCATTAGAGTCAAGGACACTTGATTCCTGGGGTATTTCAGAGGTATATATATATATATATATATATATATATATATATAAAAAAAACAAAAACACTTTAAAATGCTATATGTAGAACAAAACAGAAACAATATAAAGAGCACAAACAGGGACCAGTAGAAGAAATAGGAACCTGAGATGCATCTTCGGGTGCCTTTCTGAAGATGTTCTGCAAGTCCACGATTGCATCACCATCATGGTCCAATAGAAGAACCTAGAAAATATCAAATATGAGAGTGTTTTATTATAAAACTACTATTGAAGTGTGTCTCGGAGTCTTTTAAGGTAGCATTACAAAAAATTACTCATAAAGCATGTGTAATTATGCTTTTGGGTATATTGCTAGTCTTTTAGACACAGCAAAAGCCAAAAATATACATTTAAAACTATTCATAAGTTTAAACATACAACATTCATACACCTGATTCCTGGAGAATGAACAAAACTGCTTATAAATCAACATACAGAATACCCAGCTGAGCTCACCTTCACCGAATCATCAAATAATTCGAAAACCTTTGCTCTGCACCAAGTGTTGTGTACATAGGACCAAATAATGCACTCCAATCCAAGGACAGGCTGGTCTTCAGAGATTTTCAGTCTACCAAAAGCTAGAATATGAAAGCCATTTTACTCCATCAATGGTATAAGCATTTAAGTATGACTGTGTGAAACCAAACACCAGAAAATAAGTAAAACAGGTTGTGAATAGGAGTTTGGGGGGGATACTTACTACTTGAGACTACTTACGTGACTGACTACTGGAGTTCGGTTGAGTCACTATGCACTCTTCAGCATCTTCACAGGCAGAAATGGAGAGCTGTCTCACATCTTCCCCAAATGCTCTTGAGCTCTCCTTGAAAATCCCTTGGTCTGGCTGCTTATCCTCTTCAACCAACTGAACGGTTTCATTGTCCCGACAGATTGGAGTATTCAGTCCATCCAATAGGTAAGCCTGTTCCATATGACTCTCATTTTCATTCCCATGTGCATGGCACTTTTCCCCTTCCATTACGTCCTGCAATAAGTCACTGGTGGGTGAATTAGAACCCATAGTGTCTTCCCCTGTATTCATCTCTAAAGAAAAACTGGTTGCTTTCATCTGTGCAATACACCTACACACGTCACCTTCATTAGCAAGCATTTCCAAAGGGGACATTTCTGGCTCCTCTTGACCAAAAAGGACTTCAGACACTACACTTGGGTTTTCCTCTGTGACCTTCTTAGGCTCTTCAGTTTCCTTTTCTTCCATAAATTCTCCCTCCTCACCTTTTTCATTATTCCGTACACTAAACACTGGTGAACTATTTTCAAGATCCTCTTCATGACAACTATTTACACGCAGGTCATTCTCTTCCTTCTGTTCCTCTACACTCTGAAGTTCTACCAAAATACTTGGGTTCTGTTTGTGTTCTTCGGCAGGTTTATTTTCAGGAAGGGATTGTGGTGGCACATTTAGATTTGACTGACTGTAAAGGATACACTCTGTGCTGGAGATGCTGCTTTTGTCACAGTTTTCCTCGGGACTTGCATCTGTATTCGTTTTCTCCCCATTCGATTCTATACCAAGCAATGCTATGGAGGAGCTGACATGTGCAACTGCAGCTTCTACAGGAGAGCACTGTTCACTGCACGTATACATGGAATCAACAACTGAAGTGAAAATCTTCCAGTAAGGTCTCATTGCATCATTTATAACTTGGCCTTTACATTCAAGGCTGACCTGGAATGGTGGTATTCTATAGTCCACAAAGTCGTCCGCTTTCACAATAGTGACTTTCAACAGATCATCTATCATAAAGGTGAAATGCTCCAATGCGTTGTCATCCCAGGATCCTAATGAGGCATCAAAATCACTTAGGAGGCACAAGAAGGCCTGAGGAGGAGTTTCCATGAGTTCAGGTGGCACTTGTTTCACTTTGTTTATATCTACATCACACTCATTCCCATAATCCACAAAGAGAACAGATAAGGCCTTATCAGTATTTGTTATTACCACTGCACGATACCACTGTTCATCTTCAAACAAAGCAAGGCATGGGCTTCCTGGACTAACAGACTCAACCCAAGAGTTCTTCTGCTCGGCAGCCTTTCCAAAATCTTCAGCAGCTTTTGCTATTCTCTGAAGCTCATCTGTATTTGCATACTGGCACCAGAAATAGTGAGGTCCAGTTATACAGGATGCATAAACATCAAAGGCTTGCCCTTCAAAGATTTCAGGTAGTTTGTATGAAGAAATCACAGTTTCAGACTTTTTAGATTTATCAGGTGTAATGGTGGTTTGTGGGTCTTCGAGTACAGTGTCACATGCTGTCACAGGAGCACAATTCTTAAACAAAACATCGGCTAGAACCATACCCTGATCCTCCAGTGAGACTTCCCAAACAGATTCCACCCGTTTAATGAACGTGCACATCAGTTTATTCTCATTATCACCAACAGTTTTTTTAAAATTTGCTACATCTTCCTGGTTCCACGCTACCTCTTTGCTGACAAAAGGAAGTGCACTAAGGGAGCAATGAATGCTTAGCCGTGGATGAGCCAGTAATTCATCATCAACTCTTGATACTTCCGAATGTGAAACAGTTGCCGTATTTCCAAAGTCTATGAACTCAATGCATACTGTGCCATTTCTAAACACATTCTGCACTACCCCACGGTACCAAGAGCCATCATCTGGGAAAACTGCATTCACCAGATCACCTTCCTGCAATGCATCCATGTAGACAGCAGATTGGTTACCATTTATTTTATTCAAAAGTGAATATATTTCTTCCTCATCCTCAGTTAATTGTACGAAGAAGCTTGATGGATTATTGATGTGCGATATGTAGACTTCAGATATCGAACCTGCTTCAATGGCCTTCAATGGGAGTTGATTCAGCTTTGGGAAGCTCTTTCCCTCCATTTTTGAAAATACAGGGATGTTCCTTTCACATTCTCCAGCAAGATTTCTTGCAGGTGATTCACTGTATGAATCCAGTTCTTGAAGTGAATTTGACTGTTCTGTCATAACAAGTGGTTCCCACTGAATTCCAACACTATTGTACATTTTTGTTTTTTGCTGATTTTGTACAACTACTACATCACCACTTCCAATATTTGGCATGCATTTAGCAGACTTGCACTTTGTCTCAATCACTTGTTTATGGTAACTCCTCTTTTGACCGGTTGCTCTACAGCTGAAGGGCAGATCAGATTTCTCATATCCATCAAATGAAAAACACCCACTTTTAGGGGTCTCAATGTGAAACTTCCCTTTGATCATCAAATTTAATTGCGTTTTGCCATTATAAAGCTCCACAATCAGTTTTCCACATGGCTCTTTTGCCACCACTAGTGCTGTGAAGCAATGGTCAGTGACATTTTTCTCAAACCACCTATTGACTTCACAGGATACCTCTTCTGGGACATCAGAGAGGGCGCATTCGATTGCCTGGACAGGCACAGACATTATCTCACCTGCTTCAATAGGAATGGGAAGCAGGTCAGATTTATCCATATCTAATGTGTCACCATAGTCCACAAAGTGCACCTGTATTCTGGGATGTACAGACTTAATCTGACCTCTGTACCACTGTCCGTCAGTGTACTTGGCAAAGCAGACAGTGCCAAATGTTTTAGGACAGTCGAGGCACTGAAGCTGACGGCAGACACAATTTACTTTTTCTACCAGATTCTCGATTATATCTGAATTTCTCCTCAGCTGGCAATAAAAATGGTTCACATTTTTCACATAGGTAACCTGCACCATCTCCTCCGCTCCGGTTTTGACATCATGTGTCGAATAGTAGTACGTATCCAGGCGGAATGGGGGATGAGGCACCTTTTTTGGAAGGCCACGACTAGCTAATCCCTTCTGTACCAATAAACTGCAAACATTTTGAAAGGGAGTTTCAAGATCAGCCACATTGAAAACAACATTTTGAGAATCACACATCACAGCATAAATAGTGCACTTCAAGCTCAGGTGACTGGAAGCTGCAGAATCTACAAAATTTTGAAACTCTAACTTAGCTACATCACTCCATTCTAAAGTAGAATGATCCATGGGATGGATCAAGTTGTACAAGCTACATCGAAAAGCCTGGCCTTTTAGTTTTAGAAAGATTGGATTAATTGGACGAAGGTCTTCAATGGGGATCTTCTCTGTCCACCCAAAATCTATAAAGAGCACATCAACGTGTGGAGATGCATCTCTGGAAATTATAAGTGCCCGATACCACATTCCACTGTCGGGAAGCCTAGCAACACATGCAGCTTCCACAAGCTGCTGAGGTTTACTGTTAGTATAGTGCCTCTGAAGGTCTTCCATGAGCAACTTCAGGCTCCCTGCATTTTGGGCAATTTGGCACCAAAAGTCATTTGGACTTTTAATGTGCGATACACTAACTTCCACTGAACTTCCAATTGGAAACAAGTGTTCCTTAAAAACAGACCTGGCATCAGTCACCGTAGTTGGAGGACTTCTGGGAAAAGTTGGAGTCCCTTCATGTTTCATCTTGTCCCTTTCAAAGCAATGGACAATGGAGTCCTCTGCAACAGGCTTTTTAACAAATCTTGTTGAAGATTTCTTAGAATCATTACACTCAGCCAAACCTGCACCACAAAGCATTTTGCCAATATTTCTTTCACCATGTACAGTGGGATCAGTTAACTGCACAATGAATGCGTCTTGAGACTTCTCCATAACATGTATATGTAACAGCTTGTTTTCAACTGCTTTAGAAAAGAAAACTATTGCACTCTGGCTCCATTTCCCATCTTTTGGCTTGACACCAGACAACGCGCATTTTAGTGCCAACGCCGGCAACTCTTGGTACTTGTCAGGCAGGACTTTTAAGTTGTATCGATCAACCACCTCCACGTTTCCATAGTCCACAAAATATACCTTAATGTGCTTACCAATGACTTCCTGGACAACAGCTCTATAAAAATCATTGTCCTGCGACCTGGCCGCACAAAAAAGTCCAACTGTGGGGTTATTCACAAGTCCTTCAGTACTTACTGAATGATTATAAAGATCATCAATATCCTGCATTAGCTTATCAAATTCAGCACCGTATCGTTGCGTCTGAATCCAGAATTCAGATGGGTTATTAATGTACTGTACAACTCCCACGTGAGAGGAGTTCATCGTAAGATGTTCGGTCTCAATGTTTTGTGAAGCACTTACATGGACTGAAGAACTCATTTTCTCACGTTCCAGTGGACCCTGAGATATCTGTGAAGAGGCTGGTTTTTGAACTGCAAATTCTTCCAAAGATTTTTCAGTTTCAAGCAGACATCTTTCCTTCGTACCAAACAGAATGTTGATATTCGCATTTTCATCTCCAAAGAGTGTTACATAGTGCACACCTTCTGACAGACTCTGGTACTCAAATTTAGCAATTACAGTACGGTGCAGAAGTAGAGATTTTAGGTATTCAACCTGAGCAGCTGTCCAGCCAACACCTTTATCAAAAATACCATAGAGGGAACAAACATATGTTACAACAGGCATTTTAAAGAACTCCGCTGCCAATGGCTTGATGTTCTCAATTTTTACGAAGTCTTTCTTTCCATAATCTACATGAAGAACTTCGACCAAACTACTAGATGCAAGGACCTGCTGCAAGACCGATCTATACCACTTTCCATCACTTCCTCTAGCAGCACATGGGTGACCCAAGATTTCCGCTTTCATTGTCTCCATTCTGATTCTTCCTTCATAATGCTGAGTAATCTGATCAGTTAATTTCCTCAGCTCCTGAGAGAAAACCTTCAGCTGACAAAAAATACGTAGTGGATTGGTGACTTCAGTGACAATTACAGTTTCAACAGTTTCAGTTTGCAGCTCTGGATAAAGATAGCACTGCCGTTTCTCATCTTGAGTGTGATTTCCAACTTGTTCATTTCCTTGCCTGTTTTCTTTATGACAATCAACAGAATCCACATCTCCACTGATGGACTGCAATGACCTTGAAACAAAAAGCTTAAACTTTTCGATGGACAGTTTTTTAGCAAATCCCATTTCATACATCTGTTTAGAGATGGATGGGATATCAACAAGGAATGCCCTGTGAGGCACCAACACATCTTGGATATATCCGTCAAAAGTTTTACCACAGAGGGATTTCAGGAATTCTAAAGCCATTGGAGACCACCTGTTTTCAGAAGATAATGGCAGCACATTAGCTAGAACACAGAACTCAATTTCAGGAGGAAGGTGGAAAAAGTCATTGGAACCCCATGCCAAAGTGCAGGTAGTGCCACCAATGGTTCTGCCTTCATCAATAAGGAACACACTATAATTGGATCCATTTCTAGAAACAACACGACCTCTATACCAAGTCTCAAAAACCTGAACCAGACACAGATCTCCAGGATTTCCATCAAATTCCCGAAATCGCTCCTTTGGAAACTGGATTTCTTTTTTCAGTAGTTGGTAACTAGGTTTTCTTTCTTGGTAAAAATTACCCCAGAGTTCCACAAGAATACAGAGTGGGTTTAAATTTACCCTAGTAATTAGGACAGTTACACTTGCACCAGGTGTCGGAAGTCCAGGAATAGAGCACATGGTGAAGAAATTTCTAAATGTAGCCTTCCATCAAATCCCAAGGAGGCAGATATCTAAAAACAGAATAAAAACTCTCATTAATTTTTGCAAATTAAATCAGTTTGCTTGCTGCAAGGATGATCAGGCATTCACATAAACTGCAGAAGACAACACAGAATGGCATTATTACAATTAAAGTCGAATTTAATAAAAACATATGATCAATTTCAGTGTTTCCCCTAGGTTTACAGCTTGGGGGGGGGGCAGATGGAAACGGACAGGATTCATGGTGTTCATGCGTTTCTTTTAATGACAGCAGTCAATATAACAACTGAACTAAACATCAGAACATTTCTTTTTTTATGACAATTATCCACAAAGTGTGCAGCTTTTGTCACTGTAGTATATCTTTATGGGCTTCTGGAAGAACATTTCTAGAGCCTCATGATATGGGAAGTCAGAAATGTCTGGCCCATTTATTGAGATCCGCATGCAGGCAGCAAGATGGTACATTAACTGTTAGGCTTTAAAAGTGATAGCTGATAGCTTAAAATAGTGATAGTTTAAAGTAGAAAACCCCATTGTGAAACGTATTTATTACCCTGTTCATGGTTGAGAAATTCCTCTCACAGTTTACACTGCTGACCAGGTGGTTGACGCGCATGGGCGTCGGCGCCATTAAGTCTGAGGGGAACGTGGAACCCCCCCCCCCATTTAACATAAAATATTAGTTTTATGCCGGTGTGTAACCCCCACATTCAAAATGCTTCTGACGCCCCTGTTGACACGACATATTTTCCGACGCGCGCTCTCTGTCCGCTGGTGGGAGTGTGCTGACCTGTGTGCGCGCAAGTGTCTGTGTGCGCGCATCGGGGCGGAACTCCATTTTTACTACAGAGAGCAGAGGAGAATTGTAAACGCGTGACCGCGTAGAGACGAAAAATGACAAGCTGTTGTGTAAATAAGATAAACAACTAGAAATTCAGTGTTTCCCCTACCATTATATTAGGGGGGTGCCTCGCCCCCCCACCGGCACCCCCCGCCCCCCCTTGAAGGTCAAGTTAATTTTATTTTCTAAATAGCGCCAGATTACAACATAAGTAATTTAAGTTTCTTTCCTATAGAACAGGTCTATATATTGTCCTTTTATTAAACAAACTAAATAGCCTTATGTTATTTATCTTATTTACACAGCAGCTTGTCATTTTTGTCTCTACACGGTCGCGCGTTTACAATTATACTCTGCTCTCTGTATCGCGCATGGCGGAGTTCCGCCCCGATGCGCGCACACAGACACGTGCGCGTACACACAGGTGAGCTCACTCCCACCAGCGGACAGAGGGCGCATGTCGTAAAATATGTCGCGTCAACCACCTGGAAAGCAGATAAAAATATCTGCGTACCCAGAAAGATACACTGCAGTGACAAAAGCTGCACACTTTGTGGATAACGGTCATAAAAAGAAATGTTCTGATGTTTAGTTCAGTTGTTATATTGACTGCTGTCATTAAAAGAAACACATGAACATTGAACACATGAATCCTGATGAAAAATAACCGCCAGACTTAGAGAGCCACAATGGAGTATTTACGTTAATGTCTCACACATCAATAAAAAAGTTCCACTACCAAGAAAATAACGCAACGAGCGGTCGTCACAAAGATTTCAGAAAGCAAAAGATACAAAGATAGTATGCTTTGGCAAAGGCGACCTAGATGTCTTTATCGCCATCTAGTGGTTCACAGTCATTACTGTCAAGTAAGAACAGCCATCCCCGCCAAAAAAAAAAAAAATCTAGTCGCTTCCAAAATTAAATGAGGTACTTGCAACATCAAACATCTCGGACAAATTAAACTGAAATGTAGTTAAATCCACCACAAAAAAAAAAAAACAATTTGGCAGTAAACAAATCGGTATCACGACATTTGCGGATCCACTCAATGTACTTAATTACTCATTAGATGCCCAAGACAGTTGCCATATTTATTTTTATTTGAAACGCTTTCGAGGGAACACTGACATATTTTTGAATTATTAATCGTTCCTTCAAACATTCTGTAAAGATTTAGGACCTAGCTAGCTAGTACATACTCACGTTAAACCCTCAGTCAGTCTGGCAACCGATCGAGATAAACAAGTTAACGGATTACAGAAACACTCACCAGTTCTAGGTATTTTCCAGGTAAGTCAATGTGTGATGTGGAAAAGCGGGCCTTTAACGTATTTATGCGGCGGATTTGGATCTATAAATAGGACTACGTAGAGTCCCCGACGATGATTCCTTTACAAATGTAAATGCAAGCATGTGTGTTTACATATTGAAATCGAATTTGGTTCTACACCCTATAGCTAATTTTACAACTTTAAGCAAAGTTGCAATGTGTTGCAAATGTCGCACATACTCACCGCATAGCACGGAAAGGAAACAAGGTATAGCTACTAACTAATTAAATAACCGTTCCAGATCATTTTGCTTTACCGCCTTTGGTCATTCCATTCAACCCAAAAAAGAGGGTTCAGATGTATTTTACAAGCATAATTGCCAAAATCGTTTATTAGAAAAATAACCGAAATATTACAATACCACACCACATTGTAATAAAGCAGACACAACAGCTACATAAAGTAATTACATTTTTATTTAAGTTGAGTTTAGGAATGGTACGTGCCCTTACGTTTTTCGCTTTACGTCAACGACGTAGTTGGAATTGTTTTCAGTGTCGCCAACTTAGCCGCTTTTTAAAACCGTTAAGCGAGTATCCATTTATTTCCTGATTTAAGCATTTATTTATTTATCCCTAAAAAGCGACTATTTGGACAATACTAACATTCTCTACCTTCAATGATGTCCATCAATCTGGGGTTAAGCAAATTGCTAACACGCGTCTAGCGGGACGCTAACGCGAGACATTTTACGGCAAATCGCCGTTATAAACCTAAAATTAGCTACATCAAAAGCATTGGAGTAATAAACCCTACGGACTATATACAACGAAATAAAACTATCACCTACATATACGTTTTACGTGTACATATAGCCGAAATCACAGCACAGCAGTTTTCAAATTATGTACGGTGATTTTTGTCCGACGACGTTATAAAATCACTAATTTTAGCAATGTAGACAGTAGCTTGGCGGTGGTTTGGAAGTGACTTCTGGTTAACATGTAGCCTTAATGGGTTGAGGTATCAGTCACTATTTCATACTTATTCCATTGTCTGACAACAGAAAAATGTAAATGATAACAGCTTTATTGGATATTCGACTGTATTAAAATCTGAGTACAAAAGCTAGGAGAGAAGTAAACAGATATAGAGGGTTCACACCTTCTGACATTTCATCATTTCATTTCGCATGTGGACTAGGTTTAGCAGCACTAAATTACTGGCATTGCCAGATATGTGGTTATTCCACTAAGCAGGATTTCTTGCTTAGCCGGATAACTTTTGGGATTTAAGGTAGTCTGGGCTAAATGTAAGCTAACGAAGATGAAGTCAATTTAGCCCAGACTACTGCTGAGCTTTTTATTTTTTGATGAAAAATACTTAGAACTACGTACTAAGCCTGCGCAGATTTGCGCAATTATTTACTCAGACTGGCAGCTCAAATCCAAGGCAGCCCAAACCTGTTTGTGACATGGAAACCTTCACAAAAGCCTGCTATATCTATACAAAATATCCCACACACTGACTGACCTGCAAATATGAAAGACACACATTCACAAAATATATGGAAACACAAAAAAATAGAGTGGAAATAGAATGAAAAGTTGCTAATAGAATAAAATGAATAGAATGAAAATATGCTAACACATCAGTCTCCAATGTATGTTTGTACACAAATGTCATAAGCTGAGTGAAGTCATGGTCCATGGTTGATAACATGTTCGTACACGTACAGAATTAAATAATGTTAATTTAATTTTGATTGGCCATCACTGAATTATAAAACCAAAAGTGAATTTTGTTTTGTGTGATCTCTCCAGCTTTGCATGTTCTCTCCTCTGGCTGTTCATGTAAAAATAGCAAAAATTGTAAAAAGTAAAATAAAAAAAAATGTATCAGCCCATCTGTGTTCATCTCATCATCTTTCTGCCTTTTGTCTCAGTGGTTACTCTCACACAGTCTCTCTGTCTGTCTGTCTGTTTCAAAGTCTGTGTTTGCAGCGTTTGCAGACCCAGTGACTATCTTCCCTGCATTTGGCGCAGGTGAATTTGTGACACTTTACGCAGGCAAACCAGCTGCGATTTCTGCTGCAGCTCTCTTGTACCTGGCACTGAGTTGTCCGTACAGGTCCCGGCACAGCAGCAGCAAATGCTGCAGCAGCAGTCTCCATTGCCTTTTGCTGCATGAATCGGCGACGGAGTTCCTTGGCTAGAAGACTCAGAAATAATCTTCTTTTGCCTTTCCACCCTGTCCATGCCTTATATAGAACGGAGGCATTCACCGCCACCAGGTCCAGCATGTTGTAAAATACAGCTACTGGCCACCTGCGTGTTGCTGCTCGTACTGAATACATGCATGCCGATGGAGGAAGTTCACGGCAAACTTTATTCACCGTGTCCAGTAGAGTCGTGTTGCGCTGAAGCAGTCTATATCAAGGTTTCTCAACCCAGTCCTCGGGGACCACCAGACGGTCCACGTTTTTGCTCTCTCCCAATTGGCAGGGAATTGGGAGAGAGCAAAAACATGGACCGTCTGGTGGTCCCCGAGGACCGGGTTGAGAAACCCTGGTCTATATGACAGTGAGGTGAAGAAATTGTCCGTTGTGACATTTCTCCCATTGTCCAGAAATGGCTCCATCAGACTCATGACCACATTCTCTGCCAGCCTCTCCCCCTTCTGATGACTGGGGTCCTTGTCCGAGTAAGGGGACGCATTGCAGACGTATTTGGTCTCCAAATCCGTCACCATCCAGAACTTGATCCCAAATTTGTCCAGCTTGGATGCGTTATACTGTGTGAATGGACAATGAACCTTGGTCAGGAACAGCTGTTCGTCTATGGTCATGTGTTCTCCTGGAGTGAAACTCCAGGTTTCCATGTCACACATAGGTTTGGGCTGCCTTGGATTTCAGCTAGTAGTCTGAGTAAATAAATGCAAATGTGCCAGGGTTCATAGGTAATTAGTGTGTTTGCACAACAAAAGCAGGAGGACAATGGAGCTGAAGGCCTGCTGAGATCTGCGACAAGTTGTCCGGTTGACCAAGAAATCCTGCTTTGTGGAACACCCCATTGTAAATATTATACTGCTTTGTTAATGAATTTACTATTTTGAATTTACCCTAATTAAGAAATGTATTATGTAAATGAAGTTGCCTTGCCTTGAATGCAATTCATGTAACACTTAATATCAGAAAACATTAAAAAAAAATTGTGCAAAACAGATTTTAGTGCAAATCAGATACACAATTAAAAGAAAAGTTAAAGAAAAGTTTTAAAAACAAATAGTAAAATACTATACCAAAATAATAATACTTTTTGCAATAGGCCCATACTGCACCCAATTTCTGTATAATATTTCATGTATTATAGAAAGTAGAGAAAATTATACAGACACTACTAGTATAAACCTTGCAATGGACTAGTGAACTTTCCTGGGGTGTTTATACCTGGGCAGCTTTGACAAAAACAAGAGATGAGATCTTGGGACCTGTTTTAGAAAGCACGATTTCTTGCTAAGCCAGATAACTTGTTATGTTTAAGATACCCCAGTTTAAATGGACTTCATTCAATTACATTTAGCCTAGACTATCTTAAATCCAATAAGTTATCCAGTTAAGTAATAAATCCTGCTTTCTGAAACAGGACCCAAGACTGAACAAATCATCTCAGAGAAGAGAAATCACATTAATTAAACCCTCAAAAGTAAGGCTTGCTTTCCTGAACGCAGGTTTGCTACTGTATATGATGCCATAAAGCATGCTGCTTGAGTAGTAGTTTGCCTGGCTGAAAGCCTCACATTTGAATCAAGTTGCTTTATACAAAGAAAAAATGTATGCAGTGGGTGTTGGATAACAAAGTACCATGTATCTGTACTGGGGAAATGAGCTTTGATGTGTTTAGTACAGTATAGGCTCTTCTTGTTTTATCCGGTTCATTTTGTGTTTAAATGCTAAAAAAACAACATATTTCAATGTAATTTTTTGGGGCCGGGAACCAATTAATTGATTTTCCATTACTTCTTATGGGGAAAATTCGATCACAGCTCGAACTTTTTAGGATTCGATCCGGAGTTCTGAATGGATTAAATTCGAGTTCTGAGGTACCACTGTATTACACTATATCTGACTGAATGTGCACTCTAAGAGTGTGGGAAGTATATTTTGATAGTGTATTGTATTTATTTAGGTTATCTAATTACACCAAAGGTAGCATATTTCAGTAGTCAAATATTCCTTCCAGTACAAACTGTCTCTATTTAGGCCATGACTACATATGCACTCTAAAGGTGTAGGAAGTATATTTTGTTAGTTTTTTTAAATTAATAATAATCAATACTTTATTGATCCCCATGGGGAAATTGTCTTTACGCCTCCATCAACCTGCTCTATTTTGTAGAGTAAGCTGTCCGCGAAGGGCAGCCACCCATAGCGGTACCCAGGCAGCTGGCGGTTAAGACATGCTGAGGCTGGGTTAGCCCACTGAGCCACACACTCCCCCTGATTAATCTATATCAAGATTAATTACATATTTATTTAGGTTTTCTTATTACACTAAGGGTAGCATATTTCAAAAGTAAAATTTTCCTTATCAAATAATGCTCCCGGAACAAAATGACTTTAAATCATTCCAATTCTGACCTCCCAACTCCCTACACCAGCTCTGGAGATTACAGAAAGGAAAGAATTGTGAAAAACAGATTTTACAGTAACAGCAACAGTAACTTTATTTTTGACTGCATTTTGCACAACAAGTTTGAAGAAGTCTCTTTGTTATATTGGGCACATTAAAAAATGCAAAAATTTATAAAACAAAAAAAAAGGGCATTAAAATACAAGTCCACAATAAGGTCAAATATTAGAAACAATTTCTACAAATATTCCATTTGTGAGTAAGCAAGCAAATACACTCTACCAAGCATTCACATGTGTACCATTCAAATGTATGAGAATATATTTTGATACCACTGGCCTTTAGACAGGTGGACCACAAGCTATTTCAATTTATGTATCAATAATGCAAAATTTGACATATGTACTATTGGCATGACAAAGAACATTTTAAAAGCTGTTATAGGCTTAGATGTGAAGGACTAACTTCTGCATTGTGCAGCAAAACC